AGAACATGGGGTTCTTATCTAGGAAAATAAACTTTCCCTAGTCTCCACATAAATTTGAAAAAAGAACATGGGGTTCTTGATCAATGGGAACCAAATCCCATTGATCAACTCCCCCCCCCTCTCAAAATCCAAAAAAAAAGAACGCCCCCTCATATGCAATGTGCATGCCTTTTTGCTTTATATTTCACTAACAATTAAACTCATGCAATGCATGGGGTTGAGCAGAAATTTGGTTAAGACTTTGGGTTTCCATATTAATTAATTGGGGTCCAGACCAAGATCGATCAATGTTGAGGTTTGTTCTTGGATTGACCCTTAACCCAATCCAATCCATCTAATTTACACCCTTAATTACTTTATATTTGGGGGCGTTCTTTTTCTAGATTTTTAGAGAGGGGAAAGTTGGTCAATGGGATTTTGATTCCCATTGGCCAAGAATCCCATGTTCTTTTTTCAGATTTTTGTGGAGACTAGGGAAAGTTTATTTTCCTAGGTAAGTGATGTCCATTTCTTAGGTGGGTAAATAACTTTTCCACCTTAGGAGAAAGTTGCCAACACTTGAATGGGACAAAAATGCCCCTTGTAATAATGGATTTTTATGGCTAAAATGGTCATTGTCTTATTTACATGATAAATAAAAGAACATGGGATAAATACACTTATCCAGGTAAATCTTTCCCGAGAAACACTTACCTAAATAAGTGAATTTACCCGGATAAATAACTTACCGAAAAGCGAACAAAACCTTTGTATGAGCATTTAGGTGAGAAGATTCGTGGTCTTGTATATTATAAATATAGATGTCCCCTTCAAATCATTGATTAATTAGATTTTGTCTAATAAAATTCATAATTTAAGGGAACATACTTACACCCAAATTTTGTGCTATGCAGTAGCATGATTGCTGTTGTGCAGATTCAACAAATAATTAATGACATCCAGTTTTTGAATGCAATGTTAAGTACTTGTTTGGTTCATTGATATATAGTCATATGGATCTATCATCTCCTCTCACCCATCAGTGTGGGGCTGTTCACCAATATGTATGGTTTTGCTTTTCAAAACAAAACTAACTGCCACATCAGCAAAATTAATTTTTTTTTTTCAAAACAAAAATTGCCACGCGAGCAAAACAATACCTTTTCTAACATGGCAGTTGTTTTGAACAACAAAATATGTTGGCCAACATGTATGGTTTTGCTTTTAAAACAAATTAAAATAACCATCACATCAGCAAAGCAATATGATCTTGCTGACATGGAGTTACTTTTTGTTTTTACAATAAAACAACTCATATTGGCCAAAAGCTCCCTTAGGTTGCCCATGAAATTCGGGATGCTTGATAGTTCTTAAGGTTCCGTTTGGGAAGAGTGCAAATATAAATATGTAGAGAACAAAACTTTATATTTTGTATGTATTTGCAATTTTGCAAAAATTATACATATTTGTATTTGTACTCCTTCCAAACTGAGCCTAAGGCTCCATTTGGGAAGAGTGCAAATCCCAATATGCAAGGCTCATAAAAACACAAAGTTGATTTAGCTTTGCATTGATTTTGGTTGTGATGGGTACAAACAATTTAACTGAGAGTGCACATATGTATTGATTCAGCGTTTGTACGCTTCCCAAACAGATCCCATAGATTTCATCGTCTGCCGCAAATTTTCTTTAAGAAAGAAAAAAGCTTTTGCTTTAAGTTTAAAACTATTAAATATAAATGCTAGTATTCTGATCAATCATTTCACTTATTCTGTGACTAATCACTAACGTAAGTCGATAATTAAATTTAAACAAGAAATAGATAAAAAAAAAAAAAGATAAGCATAAGCTATATCTAATTATCTATTTCCATTTTAATGTATAAAGATGGAAAACGATGGTTTTGCTGTATTAGAGCCAAAAAAAAAAGTTAAGAAGTTGGAGACAGAGAACTTTTCCACCCCTTTTAGAGTGAAACAGATGGAGCTATAATATCAAAGTTAACACTCATTGAATCAGGAAACAGGCTGTGGACCCGTTTGCCTTTTATTGCAAAATTTGGTGAGCCGCATCAGTCTTTTGCTTAACAATTTGGTTGAGTACAATACAAAAAACTTGCTCAACCTTGAGTTATTCAATAAATTTAATTTTATAATTTCTCATGCACGTACCCTTTTTTATGATAAATTACATAATTGCACTACTTTTGATGTTAATTTGTTTATTTACTCTTTCTGTTTTTCTATTTCATCAATGTTTGATATACTTATTCAAGGATTCGCTTGGACTTGATACTAGGCATCTTTCCTTAATTATTTACAAAAAAAAGGTTAATTAGCCTGATTTGCTGATTTACTTATGGACTACATGGAAATTAAAACAAAGTAAAACTTCTCCCTTTAAAAATATACTAATGTACTTAGGCTCCATTTGTTTGCATTTCAATTTCATTTGCACTACTATAAATTCCACTCCAATTCACAAGGATTTGGAAGATTATTAAGGGCAAAGGGGGTGTCGGGGTGTAAACAGATCAAATCCGAATCAAATCAAGTAAATTCAAATTTGAATCCAATGAAAAAGTTTAATATCTAAATTTGATTCAATATCTGATAAATATTAAAAATTAATGTTTGAATTTAAATTTGACCAATTAATTATTTTAGATAATTAATAAATATATAAAAATATTTTATTTATATTATAAATTAAATAATCAGTTGAATTCGAATATTTATCGAATAGAATTAGATTATATCCAAATTTAACCGATTATAATATTAAAATTATTATTAGAATTCGATTCAATTATGACACCCTGAGGTGTCCATAAACAACAAATGATTGAAAGAAAATAGTGAGAATAATTAGGACAACATTTAAGCCAAGTTAGAAGAGGGGGTTGTAAGGTAGAGATCGTCTGTCTATGACTAAATAACCCAACCAATCAGGCTTTAAAGAGTAAACATTATTCCAAATATTTATCATTATTAAAACTTAATAAGTCCATGGAAGGCCCAAATTCCACTCCAATTAATTGCTCCTCCCTAAAGCTAACTATAATCAATCCTCCTTTTCAAGCCCTCTTAACAAGAAAAACAAAATATCCCTTGAAGTGATTGATTTTCTATTAAAGTAATCTTGCTATGCATCGAAGCAAACGTCACTCCCCATATTTACATCAATGTGGTGAATGATTTGCATCAATAAACAGACGTCCTGTTTTCATTTTCAACATATCAATCCATATCCTCCTTGTACGCATTTAAAAGGTTGAGGAAGGAAAAAAAAAACCCCGTTTTAGACAACAATGAGGAATAACCCATTTGAGACAAGGTAGTTGACTAGTTGTCTTCTTCTTCTATTAACACGTACAGAGGAATCAATCAATATGACGACATAGATGAATAAGCAAATTCGATTGGTATTAATGCCAATGTTTTTCTTTTTCTAACCATGAATGAAAACTTATCTGGAGCAAACCGAAAGTGCCACAACACAAAGATGGCCTCTTCTTGGTTTATTATTTATGAATTAATGTAGCTAGCACTTCAATTCATAAAGATCAAATCAGCCCCACAACGTCCGACAGTACATTTTCGCTGTGTATTGGAAACATCCTTTGATAATATACTAAAATAATGATATCATCATCGAAGGATGTTTTCAATACACGGCACAGATGTACTTTGAAACATTGTGAGTAATATTGTAGGATGCTGATTTGGAGGGCCCACTTCCACTTGGTTGTATTAGACATATGTTAGAAAACAAGAACCAGGATGCTAGGATCCAACTTCTGATGGGTCCCACACTGGGGATTTAACAGGTCAAAAGCAATCGGGTTGGTGGGAGTATCCATCCAAAACCTATTAATTAGATAATAATTTTTTTTTATTGTTTGGCGTAATTTTTCGGGTTAAGTACACTGCAGTCTAATGCAGAATTCAGAAATTACAGGCCCATAGTCTAGTAGTCAAGTTCTAAATATTGATAGACCCTATAGTCTCTTAGGGGTATATCGGGCAGTATTGATACTTTTTTTTTTCAAATTTAATTTAGGGGGCAGTTTAAGATTCTTCCACCCCCTGAATCAGTCAAAACCCCCATATACCCTATATATAGGGCTGTATCAGGGTGCTTCCGATATGATACCTATTGGCTCATGAATTTTACATCAATCTATATATGGTCAAGATTCATCCCACCTTAAGGTTAAAAATTCTAAAGTGGGCTGATCAGTCATTTTCCCTTTTTTTGTTTTTAATTTAGTAATCTTTTCTTTATTCTGCTAGTTAAGCAATACACGTAGAATTAGGCAGCTGAAAGACTAATGGCCCGATTCAGACTCGGGTCGAATCCGTCCTCCATCCATGTTGAGCTCTTGATACAGCCAAGCCTGGGCTGGATTATGGTTTTTCCTTCAAATTCAAGCAGCTGAAGAGGAAAACGGTCTGGGAGGGCTACCGTTTTGTATTTTACGTAGAGGAGCAGATGTCATCACTCAAAAGAAAACAAAAACAAAATTTTCCTAGTTGGATCATTCGGAGTCGGATCGGTTAAGTTTGAGCCTTCCTTTTCTGACTAGAAGACGGCTCTTACCGACAAATTGCAGAGCAATAGAAAAAGAAGAGAAGAGAAGAAAGGCATTATTGTTGACCCATTGCAGATTATCAAAACCACGCAGTGGCATCAGGCGTTGCTTAGATACCGTATTTACACTCTTTTTAAGCTACTAAACTTGGATTCAATTGCCCTTCATATGTGCCGAGCCATTGGCTGAGAGAGACCTAGAGAGAGAGAGAGAGAAAGTATTGAGGATCATGATCATTTACGTTGGTTATGTAATACAAAGTAATATGTACGTAGAGAGACTAGAATGGAGTTGATGACAAGTCGATTCAGGGTTAGATGTGAAGTTGGTCCCCCATGGACTGGACCCATTGGGTGCAATTGCAGGAGCTGCTTCTACTTTTTAAGAAGAGAAAGAAGCACAAGTTCATCCTAGCCCACTGCGTACTGTACCATTTATTCGAACAGAAAAAAGAAGAAAAGAAACGCAGGCAGAGCAATAGAAGAAGCTATGGGCCACCATTCTTGCTGCAACCAGCAGAAGGTTAAGAGGGGACTTTGGTCTCCTGAGGAAGACGAAAAGCTCATTCGCTACATAACTACTCATGGCTACGGATGTTGGAGTGAAGTCCCTGAGAAAGCAGGTCCTCTCTCTCTCTCTTTCTCTCTCTCTCTCTCTCTCTCTCTCTCTCTTTCCCCCTCTCTATAACATGCTCGTGTTGTATAGGGCTTCAAAGATGTGGTAAAAGTTGTCGCTTGAGATGGATCAATTATTTGAGACCTGACATCAGACGAGGAAGATTTACTCCAGAGGAGGAGAAGCTGATAATCAGCCTTCATGGTGTTGTAGGAAATAGGTTCAACCAACTCTATCTACTTTCTGTATTCTTCCTTATTTATCTTTTCTTCTGATATTATCTTTCTTCCTTTTTTTTTTTTCCTTTCAAGTTAACAAGCTAAAAGATCCTATTGATTAATTCATTTAATCATATCACTTGATTTATGGAATGATTCCAGGTTGAAAAAGAGGAAACGAGGGCGATTGCCTTTTGGGGGGCTTTGATTAATCCATGTTTCTGTAATAAAATGCTCCTTCTAAGTTCTAAGTTCTAACCTGCATGAGGTTTTTGTAGGTGGGCTCACATAGCAAGTCACTTGCCTGGGAGAACAGACAATGAAATAAAGAACTACTGGAATTCATGGATCAAGAAGAAGATAAGAAAACCCACCACACCACGGGCAATGGCTCCATCCAGTGTTGAGTTTGTCCAATCGGGTTACGGATTGAATCAGATAGGTTTGGTCAATCAGGATTTGAGTACAAAGCCACCGGTTGAGGATGGCTTGTTTTCTTCTTCTTGCCCTATTTTCATGTTCGACATTGGTACAGTTGATGGGCTCAGCAGTGGCAATGCTCGAGTGGATATTTTCCACGAATCTGCCGGCCTAAATTCTGACTCTTGGCATCAAAATTACAGTACTCATGAAGTTCAAGCAATTCCTCCTCCTCCCCCATCGTTTACATCTGGAATGGAGTCGAATTATTTGCCACCACTGATAGAGAATGTAGAGACCATGGTGCCCATGGAGGACCAAGCGTGTAGTATGAATGAGAATGGAGAGATTGGGTTGGAGTGTTTACAGAGGCAAGAGTCTAGTGAATGGGTTGACTCCCATCAGTACCCAGGATTTCTAATTTGGGATCATGTCGAAGCACAGATGTGTGGAGATGGAGTTGTACCTGCAGCTTCAGCAAATCTGGGACATATATTATCTTCTTATCCCCAATCTTTATAATTAAGCTACTTACTAATGGTGGTTAACATGATTCTCTCTCTCTCTCTCTAGGGGGGGGGGAGGCTTCTAATGAGTGGTGATTATTTAAACACAGTTTGTATACTTTTTGCTTTTTTCTTTTGATTGATTGGTTTTGGATAGGTATAAGACTGATTGAAGAATGTAATGAGAGAATGGGCATATGCATGCATGCAATGATGCAAACAATATCTTTCATGGTTGTGGAAACAGTAGAATAAAAAGTTAAAAAACGAGTCAATAACCAGAATTAGTTAATCGTGCTGTAACATTCTGATCAAATATTATATTTATTAATTTATACACTGCTATATACCATATATACAGATGTGTCTATTCCTGTATATTTTATTGATTTGTATATATACTGTTTAGAGAAGGGGAGGATATTAAATATTGGACATAAGTGATTCCCTTTATGGCCCACATGCCCCCACCAACTTGTTGATTATGACCGTTAGATCAGATGGCAACCTCTTACATGGGAGTTGGATTAGGGGCCACGCATATTGTCACATGCTATAAAAATAAAAGCTGTGTTTTGATTGTTTTCCTTAAAATTGATTTATCTCTTTTTCCTTTTCTTTCCAACCAAACACAGCATAAAAATGCAGAAAAATGAAGTTGGGACCTCAAAGAGACCACGAAGATATGAACCTGACACAGAAAAGAAGATAGAAATATGTAAAAGTTGGCCCATTTCGTGGGGAGTTCGACTGGTCAGTGCAAAGTCCATACGACAGCTTGTATAACCTTCTACCTTCTAATGGGAATATCTCCATACTTATATATTTTCAATGCAAAGTTGCAAAGTTGTAAGAGAATTAGTATGTTTCCATATAAGAAGTTAAAGAAAGGAGGGCAGGAGGATGAAGAAATGGGTTGATTGATCCTTGGTGGACTCAATAATGAAGTAGAGAAGTAAGATGATATTGAATTGGTGGGCTTATTAAATTGTAATGTGGATGAGTCATTAATAATTGGCCCATTCCTTCAGGAGGACCACCGCTTACTGTTGCTTGTTAGGTCCACCGCCCATTTTCTCTTTTGACAAGTACCCCAAATGGAAAGAAAGCAATGACACAACACCTTGGGGGTATCGTAGTGGGATCACATATAGCAGTTTGGATCAGGTAGGCACAACGTTGTAAGCACTTGAAATTTTTTTTTTGACACCTATCCTTTAAAATATCCTCAACCTATCTTTGAAAAAGATTAAAACTCATTTTAGACAGTTACTAAAATATTTATCAAGTGTTCATTTAACGTGCTTACTTATGTTGTGCCTATTAGATCCGGTCCCATATATAGGTCTTTAAGTTTGATCTTTCGCATTCTTTTCAAGACAATATCCAATTAAGTTAGAATGTCTGGTTTGCCTCCCTAAACTCATGATGAAATTTGAAGTTTCTTTCTCCTCCTTTCCACTAGATTGTGAATATGTATGTGTTTGGTAGAGCTTCCATTTATTAACTAAACGTTTATACTTGATTTATCTTCAAAACCAAGAAAAATAATAATGTCAACCATTTATGACAAGTAGGCACCACATCAGTAGAACAATGAGTAAACACCTAACCATGAAGATTCCCCCAATGGTAGGTGTACACATAAATCAATGTCAGCTTTTGTAAGTATCTATACGTACGAATCATCATGATGAGCTAAATGCTGATTTGGCGATGACATGACGGCATTTTGATAAGCACCTATCATGCCCATGAAACAAAACACACGCTAAATATCCTCTTAACCCAACCGTGAGTGTTCACTTGGCATTGAGAAGCCATTGCAACATTGCATTATCTCCCTATCAAATGCAAGGTTGGGGGAGGTGGCATCTCAGATGATCATGATATTAAAAGCTTGCTGAAATTTGAAGGAGAACTTCACCTTTAGTTTTGGTTGTTTTAGTTTTCTAGGTGGCCATCTTGAGGAGAATGCCACCTTTGTTCTCACAATAGTGGCGCTTTTAAAAGACAGCCTGTTCTAAACCGCTGCCTTGAACTGTTCTTCATGTAGTGAAATCCCATTTCGAGGATTTCAAAATTCCACTATTTGTCCTTTTTCCTCAGGTTGCTATACTCATTTGATTTCCACCAAATTGGAGCAAAAGAATATTCAATTTCTTTGTGTCTAGACATGGCCTAAAACATCACTCATTGAAGAAATTAGAAATCTATTCCAGATAAAGTTGTTCAGCTTGTAAATTCAACTAAAAAAGTTGAAATCAAATATAAAAACAAAGAACTTAAATCAGCACATGGAAACCTGATTTCCAACAACAAAGAGGATTTTTTTTCTTACATATTTTGTTACCAGTTTGACATTTACAATATCAATGACCACATAATCTAATAAAAAAAATAAAAAATCACATGTGCTACCTATATATCTTCTATGCCCAAAAAAATAAAAAATAAAATAATAATAGGAAAAACCACAGCAGACCGACATATAAGGTCATTCAACAAGTTGTCAACTCTGTATTTATGCACAAAAGTCTTAATTATCCATCCTATCAAAAAAACACCTAAACAATGATCTATCCTTCAAAGAATTCATCGGTCGACTCTAACTCCGATAGTATCTCCATAGCATCCTCACTTAGAATAAATCTATTCGCCACCTGTGTGGGTTCAGATTGGATCAAAAGTCGTATCTTGTGTTGTTGGTGCTTCTGAAGTTGGACATGCTTCATTGGAACCAGAAGGAAAGAATGTCGTTGAATTCAAGAGTTTCTTCTGTGGAATCAAGAAATCAGATTATCCAGAAGCCTGATTATTAATAGATTCAATGTCAAGCAAAGACTTTAGAACCCAAGCTAGGTCCATAGGCTTTTGAATCATATTGTTGTTGTAACTTTGTCTATTGGCCATAAACAGAGTATTAACTCAGCAATCTCTCAGCATTATAATTAGTTCCATAGCCAATTATATACAGACATCATGTTCAGTTAGGTCCAAACTATGGTGTCCTTAAAGGTACTGGATTTCGAAAGCCTGATAATCAGCAAAATACTTACTCCCCTTTCATCCAAGATTGAAGCCAAAAAAGGATCTCTATGCATTAATCCTAAGCAAAGACGCTCAAACACATGGGTAAGCCCCACTTCTGACAATCCCATATAGGGTGGTGTGGGTTCTCTGTAGTTTTAAAAAAGTATGTTTTCCTAATTCAAATTAAGAATTTTTTAATTCACAAATCAAAGCTTTGTTTGGATAAGATTTTGCTTTCCAGCTTTGGGATGTGAAAAACCAACTGAGCCCATAAGTGTTTTTAATTTTTGGTGAGTGCTACATTCGTGAACATTATAACTTAAATCCAAAAACACTTTAAAGTCCCAAAGCACAAAGTTTAAGTGCCTCTTTGGGAGGGATGAAGCATAGTAGCTTCTTTCTTTGATGGACTCCACACAGTCAACTTATAAGCTATGTTTAGTACAAAAAAAAATAAAAAATAAAAAATCAGGGAGCCCAAATCAGGCTGTCAGTCATTTGAAGGACTGTCCACTTTGGCCTCTTTAAATAAATTATCTGAAACACTTAAAGCAACTAAACCAATTAAACTGAATCTTCAGTTCAGCCCTCCCAAATGGGCCATAAAATTAGGGTTGTGTGTTGGGGCTTGAAAGGCATAAATCCTGAAGTTTATCCAAACATAGTCCAAATCCATTTAAATTTGTTATTTCTTCATCATCTATCATGAGAAAAATAGTTAATAATAGTATCAGTAAGAAACCAAGCTTTTGAAGGATTTATAATTCTAGTTTATGGATCATTCATCTTGTTCCACTACTGAAAAATGAAATCAAGCTGTTGGCTTTGCCATCTCTTGGTGGTCTTCAATGCAGCAAAGATTCAGGATTAGTTTTCAGGGAGTTGTTTGAACAAGGAGCTATTTCTGGATCATATCCTGGTGGACGATATTGACCTCTTGATCAGATGGATGCTTTACAGAGAGGATATTGAAACTGGCAAACAGTTTATGCATGCACCATCAGGTGAAGCTTGTCACCCACCGGCAAGAATGACAAATGAAGCTTGTACAACCTCATATTTCTCAAAAAATTTTGAAGCATTAGAAATACTTTCGAACCCAACAGTCTACATGCAATTGGATGAAAAGGAAGATGGAAGCTCATCCCATGATTCTTCAGGTTGTATTCATCAGAGATAGGTGTGGATGATTACTGATGAAGGGTGATTTGGCTTGACCTGCTAACAGGCAGACACGTGGGCACGACCAGTTGACTGGACCTTGACAAGGCACTTCTTGCCACCTCAACAGAATAGGTAACCTCGGGCACCTCGGCTAGGACCAAGAACCGAGTAGCTCGTTATGACCCAGCCTACCGAGGTGACATGTAGCAAACTTCTAGATGCAAGCCAGCTGTCTCCGAGCTCTTCAGGATCACGCCGTACAACTGTAGGTCTTATCCTCATCCCGCCCGGACCAGATGGACTCGATAAGCCTTATCGGCTTTCACGAAATCCACTTCCTGGTGCGGAACGAACTCCTAGCAGCGCGGGTCGAGGATCTCAAAGGTGCTTTGTGAGATGCACAATTTATTGCTCACTAGCCTACTTGCTATCAAGCTTTCAGCTCGCACACATAGAGTACTGACTTAAGCATCGGAACGACCACACTGAGTAAGCCACCCCGGGTCTTTTGATTCCTGTTTCTTTGCAATTCAACCAGCAACTGATGTCTGAACTACCCTCCAGCTAGGAGCATCCAGACCACACACCATCAACTACCATTGTCAAATTATGGATTTCGTTGGTCTAAATCAGCCAAGAAGGGACAAAAGCAAAGAGGCCAAGATCAGTCTCACCAGAAAACATTTTGTGTGTCACAGGAAGTCCAGGTTAAGATTCTAGTGGGAGGTTGGAGGCTTATGTTGTTGAGGATTCTCAAGAGATAGATAGAATGGATGATAGCTATGAGAGCAATGGATCCCTCCCCTACCAAGAAAATCCCCTTGACCCACCCTACCAAGAGGTTGGGTCAGCTGAACAGCTAGGTTTCATAGGAAATGATGTGGAAACAACTGCAGATGATTTAGATTTAAATGAAAAGTAAGCTGCAAAAAGGTCTAGGCTCATGCTTCCCATCAAGAGGAACGGTGATGATCAAGTGA